GAGGGGCTTTACTACTTCCGTAGGAAACGACTCATCCATGAGGCATCGGAAATCTTCTAGAAGCTCATGATCGCCCACGATGGTCTGCTGCTGAATCACCAGCACTGTGGCGTCGCTGGGGGAATCAATGGTGGCCAACATGTCCCCAATGAACCCCAGCTCAGGGTACTCGTGCCACTCGTTCAACCCCACGAACAGCTCCGAGTCCCCATCGTGGCGCCGCCCCACCAATATCAGATCGTAATTGCTTTCCATTTTCCTCATCACCCCAATCAGCCCCACGCAGTCGCTCGCCGTCACCTCTTCGTAGAAACAGTGCTTTATCTCTGAGCTCGACATGATCAGCTTGAACTCGTTTAGCATCTCGAAGTCATGTTCTTGATCCGCCGGTTGGTGGGTGGTTCCTTTTGGATGAATCAGCCGGACCACCGTGAGCGTCACCATGGGATGCTCCACCATGCGCGTCGCATACGCCAGCGCCTCCCGATCATCCGAGCCTCCCACAAAAATCAGCCCCACCTTGTACAATTCCACTCTGTTCATTATGGGAACCGTGTTGGCGGTGGTCGGCAATATCATAGGGTCTATCAAGATCCCGACCGAACATGGAGCCTTTGATAGAATGTTCTTGTTCACTGCCCTTATTGCATTCACCGAACCCTCGTACACATTCATCGTCCTCCGCTTGTGGAACGGCACGATCACCATCGACACTCGCTTCTCCAATGCCAACATGCATACATCGTCATGCATGGTGGCAAAGGGAGCCACCGATGTGAACGCGTTCATTATAACCTAAAACCACAAAAATATATCAGCACCCTGATACTGTTTGAGGCTCACAACTTTTCGTTTGACATTTGAGGATTCTATTGACATAGCTAAGTTAAAGGGCTGGACTCTGAAACCATATTAGAAATCTGATATTGTCCACTTTGAGCATAAGCTCTCTAAAGGGTCTCATTCCAATGAATTTACTTATAAACTCATGACATCATATCATTGTGGAGGTTTGTGTCAAGTTAATGTTCAAAGTGAACAATATCAGAGAGGGTTGTGGTATCTAACAAAAACAAAATATTATTATCACCCACCTTATCGTAACTCATTTGCTGGAAGAGTTGGAAGGCATTGATGATTTGATCGGAGAGATTGCAGCGTTTGGAGCTGCGACGACTGGGGTGGTGGTGGATGAGGAGCGGAGAGGCTCGGCCGGTGAGCTGGATGAGGTGGATGAGGTAGAAGCAAATGGGGCTTTTAATGGTGGGATTGGAGACCTCAAGAAGGTTGATTATAGAGGGAGTATTGTCTTGGTGGTGAATACAAAGCAACACACGCAGCTCCCCGTTTGGGCTGGTATGCTCGATGGTCCTCCTCCGCCTATTGCATCTGTATTTGTTTGATGGGTTGTATAGCATTTTCACTATAGGCGATGTCGCCCCTGTCATCACCATCATCGCCAACACCATCACGCTGTATGCATTCACGTCTAGCATCTACAAATAGACACACACAGACACCATCCATTTTCACGAACTACCAAAATTAATATGAATCAAGAGACATCACTCATATTTCCTCCTTCGTTAAGATTTGAAGAAAGAGAGAAAAGAGGAGGAATTACTTGAAGGAGCAATCCCTGTTGGAGAAAGAGTATGTCAGAGATGCCCTGAGTGCTCATGATGAGTCCCAAGGTCAAGGAATCAACCAAGGGCATTTTGCAGTACAAAGAAGGCAGCGTGGCCCCAATCAGCTTCCCCATTAAGCTCCCAAACGCCAACAATTGAACAATCCAAATGCTCTTCATATCAAGCTTGGAGAGATTGATTCTAGCGCCACTAATCACGAAGTAGCAGGGCAACATAATAGAGGACACGAAGGACTCGAGTTTATCCACCAACGCGGACCCAAGAGGCGGCCCATCAGGCACAGCCAGCCCAAGAATCATTGGGCCCAATAAGAAATGCTGGCCCACGAACTCACTAAACAAAGAACAGAACAACATCATTATAAACATCAAAAACACGTAGCTTTCCTTAATGGGCCTCCCGGAGATGTTGGTCTGCTCCACAATCCAAAACATGATGGGGCGAAGAATGTAAATGACGAGGATGATCATGCACGCCACGCAAACGGCCATCCATGGCAGCGCGTCTTGCTGCTCCAAGGAGGTTTGGCGTAGGGTGAAGCAGATGACTATGGAGATCCAGCTCAAGGTGCCGCTGATCATGGAGGAGGAGAGGGCGAGGCGGCCGATGTTGGAGTTGAGAAGATTCAGATCTTCTAAAACGCAGGCGATGACGTAGAAGGAGCTGGAGGACTGAAATGCGCCGATGGCGGTGAGGGAGTCTTTTAAATTTCCATCCATATCGATTGTGCTCTTTAGGTACACCGACAACAGGTAGTTGATAAGCAATGGGAAGAGGAACACCAACACGCCGATGACCATGGCCTTTGTCCCTGATTTGGTGATCAATGTCAGATCCATTTTAACGCCCATAAGGAACATGAATATCATGCACCCGAAGAAGGCGAAGGTTTCGCTGACGTAGAAGCTCTTGTAGGGGAACACCACCTCCAGAAGTGGGCTGTTTCCACCGTTGAACGACGGCCCAAGAGCAAGGCCCACCTGAAGGAAACAAACCCAAAGTCAAAAAATAAAAAATAAAAAATAAAAAAGAGAGAGTAAAGAACAGGGGTGCCGGGAAAGGCGGGTGCGGGTGCGACCAGCATCTGAGAAAAGAAGGAGCTCTCGCCAATGGGTGTGAGGAGGCATTGTAAGAGGCAGGTAAGGAGCGAGGAGACGGAGATTTGAGCCAGAAAAACGGTGTTTCCAAAGGAGAAAGGGTTGTCCCCAAAGAAAATGCCTCTGGATCTGTAACGCTCGTTGGGCTGGCACACCCAGCTACCATTGTGTGCTGCTCGAATGCTCATCCTTTCAACCCTTCAATCTCGTTTAAACTATTCCTTTCACTTTCAATTATTTCAATATGGCTTTCAAACTTTGTGGTCAATTTCCTTCCCTACTTTCTAACCATCTCTTACTCCTCCTTCCTCTTCCCTCTATAATTAGAAATTAATGCTTGTCCATACATTTTCATACAAAAATCACAATCCTACTCTTTCAATCCTGTCCTGATATTCATATTTTTTCGTCCCAGTTTTGTGGCCTTCTAGGATCTTCAAACATCTCTCATCTACCATCTGAGCTTGTTTGGTCACTGATATTATTCAATTGTCGTGACACACCAACTTCACATCTCATTGTTATGTTGGTTCCCAACAAAGCAGCCCATGCATCGTGATGTTGTTGTAAATTGTCATAAGTTTTGATTTTGATTTGGTTATTTGGATGAGATTTGATTTGATTTTTGGATTATGTTTGAATATCCATTCTTAATAAGTGATATTGGGATTTGGGTGAGTTTTGGGTGTTACATCGTATTTGTTGAGTGGCATATTAGTGAAAGACTTTGTAGTGTGATAGTGAATTATTCACTCGTAACACTTGGTTTATTAGTAATTGGTTGCTACCCATGGATGTAGGGGAACTTTTTCTCTTCGAACCACGTAAATATCTTGGTGTCTCTTTGTGTAACTTCGTTCCGTGGTGTTGTGAGTACATTTGTTCCGCTTTCGGTGCACGACAATGGTATCCCATGTCTCAACATATGTTGCCTATCTTGACTTGTTCGAACATATCTGTTGGAAATTGACCCATGTGTCGCTCATCTTAACGGAACATCTTGAACATCCATTCATTTGAGATCATCTGAACATGGGACTCGCTCGTATCGTTTCAAAACCAAAATAAAAACAGAATATGAAGATAGAGCAACAATTAAAAGTCTTTTGATTAGAAAGAAAAGTTTAACTCAAAGTAAAATAAAAAATAGAAATATAACTTTTAATTTAAAAAAAACAATGGCATCTAAAAAGTTTCTATTTTTCCAAATTTTAAAAGAGAATAAAAATGTTCGGCAACAAGATAATTGTGAATTGTGTTGTAGGAATAAAAGAAAAAAAAAAGCGAAATCTGGTTACGACATGTCGGTGGGTGGAACAAGCCCTCACCCACCAATCTCCTTTTGCCAAGTGTCACCTTCTCTCTTTCCTATTTACTCCGTGACATTCACGTACTCGATCTTCTCTTTCCATTTTACCCAAATACCCTTCCGTGTGAACGTGGGTTAAAATAGTCATTTAATAGCCTTGGTCCCCCAAAGTTGACTTTTCTCCTTCAGCTTCTCCGCCAAGTAATCCACTCACCACCCCCTCCACCGCTTTCTTTGACTTGTTCAAACTTTGTGCTGACGTCATCGATGACATCACATATCTTGCTATCTATCTGTCTCGTCCTCTTCATTTCTTTTTCCTTCTAAATATCGAACATTTATTTCACAAATTTCTTTTATATATTCAAACTTAAAGCAAAAATTAATAACCAAAAATAATAATATTGAAAGTATAATTGTGATCTATAACATACAGGTGTATTATGATACTAATACAAAAAAGAAAATAATAATAAAACCCAACCAGCCCCTAAGAAAAAAAAAAAATATACAGCCAAAAGAAAAAAAGAATTAAATAAACATTATTTGATTTTTTTTTTTTTTTTTTTTTTTTTTTTTTTTTTTTTTTTTTTTTTTTTTTTTTTTTTTTTTTTTTTTTTTTTTTTTTTT